TTTCAAAAGAACCTTTTTAAGCCTTCTAGCCTCCAGAAGCTTTCCTTAGACAAACGGTGACCAGGTTTTGTACCAAGAGGGCAAGTGTCTGGAAGAACAGGATAGGAAGGGTGTGTGTATGCACGAAATTGAGGAAATGAGGGATCTATTGTTCATCCCATGTAGGAAGAATAAGACCATTACCACAATTTTTGAGCCAAATTTGAAGCAACCTTTATGACATACTGGCCAGAATGATGGACATTGGTCATGTCCATAGCCAGAATTCCCAGAGAATGGCCACGAACCATGTTAGTCAGGGCTAAGTGCTTCCCTGCTCGACCAATTGGGGGCAAGCATACTTGTTGTTTGCATGTGCTCAAGCACAGCCTGCACACTTGAGGCAACCAACCTCTTTAGAGAAGTGAAAATGTAGTTTGTTACATTACATGAGCAACTACTCCCAACATTGCAGGAAGTCTGCTGTCCTTGGGGAAGTGGGGCTTATAAGCTAGAGCCATTCTTGCTTTTTTTAAACTTAAAACCTAACTTTGGTCTTCATACTACAGCAGGGAGTTACTGCCGCTCTAGAAAATTCACACTGTCACCTCTAATGGGGGAGGGGGAAGTCACACTACCCAAGGGATTATTAATGGTGCTGACACCATTTTCCATCCTTATCTCTGCTGAGAAGGTGCCATACTTACCACAGAGGCTAAGCATGGACAAGATATGCTTCTCTGTGCTTTCTACCTATTGTTTGCCTTTTCTAATATTGTGCAAAGTCTGTGAGCAAGAACACCAGGTCTGTTGTGTTCACTACTGTGACCATAGCATTAGAAGATGAGGTACTGACCAGTGTGCATGATGAAGGAGAAGGACTCCTACCAGAAACTGACCAGAGTGGGTGATTTTTTTGGTTGTGGACAGAGACAAGAATATGCCAATAACTGTAAAGCCAAAGAGTAGCAGCTTCCTCTGAAATTCTAAAAATTGTAAACTATTAAGGAGCACATTTATCACTGAATGACATTCCTACTGTTTTGTGTAGCACAAAACAGGGAGTACTGAACTTCACAACCAGATAAAAAAAACATATGGGTGAGAAGCTTGAAGAAAGTTTTTATTTTTCCTGAAATTTCTTCTAAACTTTTTTGGAAAAGCAAGTTTTATTTATGAAAACAAACAAAACCCAGTAACTGAGGAGATGACGCCATGATTTAGTACTTGCTTTGTGAGCATGAAGCCCTCGGGTTAGTCTACAATACCCACATAACAAAAGTGGGCATAGAGGGGTATGCTCGCAAACACAGTACTGACGAGATGGAGACAGGAGTCTTGATGCTCACTGCTCGGGCATATATTCACTTTCCTGACTGCTTTGCTGTAACAGCCTTTATTTGTGAAGCCACAACTGCCCATTCCTTTGTGTTGAGACAGTCACAATTCTTGAGTAACACATTCAAACCTTGCCGCCAGACCTCAGACCACAGAGCATCATCACTTCAAAGCTCCAAGCTGTTCTTCCCGTCCCAGGCTGAGGTGAGGGTCACCTGCAGTAACGACAAGCCTTCACAGAAGGATGGGCTGACTCACTCACTTCACTAGGCGGACTGTCTGGTCCTGGGCAGCATGCCACTTATGGGTACTTCTGTCTCAGGGTGGAACTTTCACAACACTGAAATATGGTAAACTTCACAGCTCTTAAGAAGACAAAAAGGCTCTATTTTGAGTTTTCCTATGCCTATAAACACCCCATGTCCTCAAATCTATTTTTTTAATAGTTGGAAATTGCTTTTTTTATTCATAAAAATATATTCATTTAATCAATAGGGGCATAAAATGGCAGTCAGTATACAGAGTGTATAGCCTTAGAAAAGTTAAGATGACAAATATAAAAGAAATAAAAAATAACAAAACCTTAAATCAATACAAAGAAAACCAAGAAACCAAAGAAAAACAAATAAACCAAAAAACAAAACAAAATGAAAATCAAGATAAAAGCCAGAAAAAAAATTAAGCCTTATTCTCTTGCTGCGCTGAATTATCTTCAGCAACACTTATGTATGACATGGAGTCAGCTTCAGCACTGCACTGGAGAATTAATCATATGTTTTTGGGTGTAGTCTGTCTGGATAGCAAGATGACATTAACCCAGTCTTCACTGTCAGATTTCCCACCACATATGGAGGGCTGAAGATCCCGGCAGCTTGCCTTTGACAATAAAATGACAAAGTAATTCTTGCTCACCAAGGTGTCGTCAGCCATGTTGTTGTGGCCCTCACTGGGACCACTTGCTAGTGGATGTCAGGTTTCCAAGCACCTCCAGCTCTTTTCTAATGCACTCTTTTCTCGGGGGATAGTGAGATAACAAACATGTGGATCAGACTAAGGCAGAGCACCAGCAGGTGGGCTGATATTTACCTCACTAATGAGTTTACAGCTATAAGAGTTATCTTTTTCTGAGGAGGCCTTGATCCTGGAGTGTAGAATGTCATGCCTCCAAGGTTTCTGCTGCTTCCTCCAGCCTCCTCAGGTCTGTCAAAGGGTGTTATCAGAGAAGAAAAGGCAATCACACCTAGAAACAGTCTCACTGCATGGTAAGCTATACAAAATCAGGGCCTATTTACCCATACTTAACAATAGTTTGGGAAGAAAAACCACCCCATGAATACCCTGGTTCCTGGGGATAGAGCTCAGTGGAGCCTCACTTGCCTGGCACAGTGCTCCTGCTGCAGCAGGTCCATCTGTAGGAAGGGCTTATGCTGAGCTGTGGCCTGTTCTAGCTCACACTGGAAGCTGCCAAATCTACAGGGGGAAGGCAACTAGAACACAGGCCTGGTGAAGACCAGGCATGCCGGCTGCTGAGCCTCCACCAGCTCTGTTCAGCTAAGCAATCCAGCATTACCTTTCAGCTGAGCTCATTCCCTGCTTCCCTAATGTAAAAAGATCAGAGAGAGTCTGACTTTTCCTCAGCCTTTAAAAACTGCTAGAAATTGAACTGGGAACTACACGGTGTGCTGGTCTAGATAAGTAATGCATTTCGTCAATAGTCCAGAAACATTACTTTGGAAAAATAGCAGCCTAGTGGTGTCAGAGTCACAGTTCAGGAGGGATATGCATGGCCTTCATTAGCTACCATGTGGAAAACTATGCAGGCCCTCTAGTGGAGCCTACAGAGAACTGCAATGAAGGTTCTGATTATTCCTACAATTCAGAACCCTGCATGGGTTCAACATGTCCAACTCTAAATCTGCTTATAGCCAGGAAACCTGCTCACAGGAAACTGATGTACACTGCAGAGAGCCTGTAATCATCAGGAGTGTGCTGCACACAAATATGCCTAAGTGTAGAAACTTACCTCTAAAGGTGATGTTTCCACAGGAAATACAGTGGCAGGAGGACACTGTCCTCCACAAATGACCCTCACCCTGCCTAGCTTTGGGTATCCTCAAATTTATAATCACAGCTGTTTTAACACCCTGCATTATCATCCTAGCCACATAGTGCTTGCTGAGCCTAAAGCACTAAGAGTGTGGACATAAGAAAAATGCTTCAGGAACTCTTAACAGTAATGGAGGGGGCTTAAGGAGCGTTGCCAGTGGGCTCTTGTGACCCTCAGGGATAAAATTCACTTGTAGGTTATAAGAGAAACAGGGGCAAGAGAGATGGCTCAGTGGTTAAGATGGCTCAGTGGTTAAGGTCTCTTTCAGAGGACCTAAATTTGAATCCCAGCACCCACTCGAGAACATTTCCAGTCCTAAAGGATCCAGTACCCTCTTCTGGTATCTGCAGTCACCAGGCATACAGGTGGGCGCACAAACACACACGCAAGCTGAAGCTCAACACCCATTCAAGCAAAATAAGCCAACAAGAAATTTAAGAGAGAAAACAATTAGGTACTGATCCATATCTAAGTTTCATACCTTTCGTCTGAACACTCAGGGGGTAGAGGTAGGCAGATCTCTGTGAGTTTGAGACCAGCCTGGTCTACAGAGAATCAAGAGAAGAGGAGGAGGAGGAAAAAGAAGAAGGAAAAGAAGAGGAAGGAGAAAAGAAGAAGAGAAGGAGAAGGAGAGGAGAAGAGAGAAGAGAAGAGAAGAGGAGAGGAGAAGAGGAGAGAAGAGAGGAGAAGAGAAGAGGGGAGGGGAGGGGTGGGGAGGGGAGAGGAGAGGAGAGGAGAGGAGAGGAGAGAAAAGAGAGAAGAGGAGATGAGAGGAGAGGAGAAAAGAGAAGAGGAAGAAGAGGCAGAGGAGGAGAACACCAGTATAATGGGAGAAATGGTAGAAAGTTCAAAGGACCTGGGAAACAAACCTAAGTGGCCTGTTTCCAGTAAGACCTTCCAAAAGGCATGTATACTATAGGTGGTAAAGACAAAATTTTATCTAATTTTGAAGTTTCAACTCAGCTCCTTCATGTGTGCACACACAGAAATAAAAGTGCAAAATCATAGAGAGGCCAAATGTTCCGGTACTGACTATGCTCTTCCAACAACTTAGGAAAATATTTAAATGTGAAGTATCCCCAAAAGGGCTTATGGTAATATTAAAAAAAAAAAAAAAAGTCAAGCCCCTGTGAACAAGCTCCATAAGTATCACAAAGGTAAGTCCTATGAAGTATGGAAGCAGAAGAGCTACTCCGGGCACCTTAAGCAGCTAAGATTTAGCTATGCTAAAGTCGAGGGGTCTCTGCTCTAAGTCTGCCAACTGGACAACCCATCATCCTTAAAGCCAATCACAGATTCAGCCGCAAAAAGCAAACAACTACTCTATATCCAGGCTTTGGTACACATTATTACAGCAAAGTTTCAACAAAAAGTGGCTTTTATTTACAGAATCAATTGCATATAGACTGTCGCCCATGTGGACCCAAGAGAAGAAACCATTCCACCTGATTTTTTTCACATATTGAGTTTATATACAAAAGTTTTACATTCATCAAAATCCCAAAATTGTCAATAAAAAAATACGTCCTTTAATTAAATATTGAAATAACTTCAGAAGCCTCCAATTCAAACTGGCTTAATCCTGAAGTGTAGTCCAATGAGACTGAACTAAACATTTCAAGTCCTGCACCAAATAGTAAAACACACGAAGGCCTTCAGGATCCCTAACATTTAAAAGAGTAACTTACCTTTTGTTCCCTATGAACAATCTCATAAATTTCTAAAACAAAACATTTGTACCAATTAAGCTTACAGAATTTAAGAAAAAAGGGTGCTCTTGATGAAACGAAAGAGAAGAAACTGAGCGGTCAGCGTCTGTCCTCCTGTGCGGAAGAGTGCAGCTCGCCAGTGCCCACGACTCTCTGAAGAGAAGTGCATCCACTCCTAAACCCAGGAGAGCACAGAGGCCACAGCCTCGCCAGATGTAAACATCTGTACGTTTAAACATCCCGCTGTTCTTAGTGAACACAAATGTTCGGTAATTATTATGCATTCATTCCCTTCCCCTTCTTTAATACTTATTTGAAGCACCTACTATGTGTTGGACACTATGCTGACTCTGAAGACAGAACAAGGTTCTCATGTAGCTTATACTCAAGCAAGTTAGGATTTAAGGCAACACCAAACAATGGAAGCAATATGGGACATTTTGAGAGAAAGGAGCATGAAGAAGTGACTCCAAGATTCAGGCTAGCATAGCTTCAGTATATGCTGAAAGAACCTAACGACACAGGTGGTTCACACATATGCCTACTGTTTTTTTCAAGTGTTCAACCCAAGGTAAAGTATGATGTAATATGGGCCTGATGAAGCTCAGCAAACCAAAAATGTCTTACTTTACATTTTGTTTAATACAAAACGACCAACAAAAATCAGGCATTATTTTGCACACTGCCGAGCTGAGTATTTTAGACAGTGAAAACTCTGTTAACTTCTCTGACAGACAAAATAAGAAGTTTAATTACTTAAAGGTCCCAATGGTGTCTGAATTCTAACTGCCTTCAGCTCAGCCAAATATACTTACTTTGACTGATTTACATCAATAAGAGAACCTATTTTTGATGTGGTAAAGGAAATGTGTTCATCCGCAATTACAATTTCAAGTTCCTGGAAACAAAACAGCAGAGAAACAACATCAGTAAAAACATCTATTCCAGAGATACCTGTATTCATGCTACAAAAAAATGCAAACTTTCCAGAACTTGATAGAGGAAGAAAGAAAGTTAATCTTAGCCAAGCATGCTATACATGCTTATAATCCCAGAACTCAAGAAGTAAGGCAGGAGGACTACTCAATTCTAAGGGCAGCCTGGTCTACAGAGAAAGTTCCAGGCCAGCCAGGGCTACACAGGGAGACTCTCTGCAAAAACCTAAAGAAATTTAATTTGCTAAACAGAATTCTCTTAATATAACCTCATCGACTGCTCCTGAGCACTAGCCTCAGGCTCCGGGTCAAACGAGAACTGCTTCCTTGAGCCACCACAAAAAAAGAGGCTCAAAAAAAAAAAAAAAAAAAAAAAGACACAAAAATGTTTATGATACTGGTAAACATGAGAGCTGTCACATTAAAGCATATGTTATAGAAAGATTACAGAAATAAAACCCATTTAAAATATCACAAAATGAGCTGGGCACAGTGGCACACGCCTATGATCACAGCACTTAGGGAGGTAGGGGCAGGGGGCTCTCTACAAATTCAAGGCCAGCCTGGTCTACAAAGCAAGTCCAGGACAATCAAGGCTACACAGAAAAACCCTGTCTGGAAAACCCAAAAAGAAAAATAGAAAGAGAAAAATCACAAAAAGTATTTTCCCTTTACGTAAGTTCCTGCAAACGTACAAGATTAACAATAGCTGTCGCTTTGGCACTGCCATGTATCAGGCTCAACTGCTGGGACTTTCCAAACACGTTCTGCAGGCCCTAAAATAGCTTAACAAGGTTATAGTCTTCACTGGTCTTATTTCACACATGTACAATCCTAAAGGCATGAAGCACAGAACATACACTGACATCAATAAACAGCAGCAACACTGACTCTCCATAACAAACTAACACTCTCTGAAACCCAATGAAAAATAGAACTCATAATACAATACAATGTAATATGGTTGGTTCGGGACCATTATCATCATACAAATTTTATCTGTACTGCTTATCCAGAAATCTAATGCTAATGAAAGGGCTACATGTTTAATGAATTTTTACACTAAATTATCAAGCAGGTGTTAATAAAGAAGTCCTAGGTATCCACTTCATGAGATACTGCAAATTGAGAGTTTGTTAAGATTCTCTAATAATCACAAAATTCTTGGTTTAATTATCCAACAGCAGTTTCTGCAGTGTGCCTGCTACTCCCTCATGGAGAACACATCACTAGTACATTGAAAAACATTTTTATATATAATGAAACTTTCAGTGTAGCCGGAGCTATTTTTCTAGAATTGATGTTCATAAATGAGATTAAGGCAAAGGGAAATGGAAAACATCACCATTTTCTGATGTATTTACAAAACCACCCCCTAAAAGAAGTGCATCAACTTCTTAACACAGGTCTAGATGTCACAGCCTCACTTACAAGCAGGTTTAACCGCTCTTTGATGCTCTTTGCAGGCACAGATGGCCAGTGACCACCATGCTGACAGTGGTATTACTGTAACCCGGGTTCCCATGGGACACAGACCTGCCTCTGCTTCCCAACACCATGTTCTACACTGTTCTTGCCACAGAGCAGTCTCATTACTGCCACTTTTAGTTCTCTACACATTCTTGTAGTCAAAGAAAGTGGCTGATGGAAAGTACAATGCTCAGGAACACACAAAAGTGAAATTAAATGTTTCTTTCTCCCATGCCTCGTATCTCGTTTCTCCGAGAGTTGAAAGGACCCAATTCAGAAACCAAACTGTCTTTACACAGAGTGAAATTGGGACTGCAGAGTTCTTTGGGAGCCCTTTGAGAAACATCAATTATTCTGAAGAGAATATAAGAGGCAAACACAATGTTCCATTTAAACAAAGAAATCTACCAAGTTTCCCTCTATGGCATTCAAATATACAAATTCAAAAGATGAAAAATTGGAGAAAGTTAATTGCTACACTCAATGAGAAGAACCCTAACTCTCAAATTTGGCTAGAAATGCTGTATTTATTTATAGTAAAAATAATTAACAATAACAGCTAATCTATAATAAGAAATTCGTAACAGTGTCAAATTATCCTAGTTTGGGCTGGACAGGCTAGACATAGCATGCTGTCTAAGTTTCGAGCTATGTGCTAACTCCTCTCCTAGTTGGAGGAAGCAAGGAAAATGAAGCTAAGTAAGGGCTGAGAAGTATAACTTGGATATAGTATTTGCTTGCCTGGCAAATATGAACCTTGAGTTCACTCCAGTATCAAAAGAAAAAAAAAAAGTGTAAAAGGAAAATGAAGTTATATAATCACAGCTTCAATAAGAAACCATCCTGAATACATAATATAGAGCGCACCGATTATATTATCCTCTGACTCTACCCATTTGAAGAATCGCTAGGCACAGACCTGCCGGCCAACCCTGTCCGGGGGTGGCCACAAAGTGTCGGGAGCCGCTCCCGCCACTACAAGGTGGCGCCGGTCTCCTGCT